TTCCTTGTTCAGCCTCCACAGAGGCTACAATGCTGTTCTCCACAAAAGCAGCACCATCTTACATTCCCGCCAGCAAGACACAGGGCTGACAGCGTCTCCAAGTCCTTCCTGGTGCTTCTGTCTAAATTGTGAACACTCTAGTGGGTCTAAATTGGTATCTCCTCCCTGATCAAGCACTCGCTGAGCCTAATTCTAGATGTTATAGCTCACTTGGAGGAGCATAGGGTTAAAATTCACCTCATCCTGTTAAATCCAATCCCTGGAGAAGAATTTGGTAAATGCTGGAATTGTTGGAGGAGAACTTAATCTTTGGTTTAATTTCTCGGGTTTCCCCAGTCCTGTAATCAGAAGTTCTGGGGTAGGACTGGCAGGGGGCAAGCCTCCTTTCTAATGAGATTTAGGTTGGTGTTCTATTCCTGAGGGCTTCAGGCAATGAAAAAAAAATGTACTCTTTAATCTGTTGACATTTTGTTACCCCGGAGGACTCGGCAATACAATGTGCATTCCGGAATTTAATAAAACCCATAGATGGGGCAAATTTAAAGAGAATTAAAGACCTATTAACAAAAATAGGTCAAGCAAGCAAACCACAAAGCGAGACACCCACCATTTAAAGGTTCCCCTAACTCCAACTGTGTAACAGCACGCAGAAACTTCCTGCTTGTTTGGAGGCTCAATATACTAAGAGCAGAGTTTCAAATCCAGGCCCAGATCTCAATGGCTGAACTCAACGAGGAAATGTCAAAGACGGATGGGGGAGATCTGAGAAAAGGGAACTATTGGGGCAAGACAAATTGCTCCCTCCAAGGAATCTTGTGTAACTTCTCCAGAACCTCGACTAGTGTGGGCAAGTCGCTCAGCCCCGTCGTACTGACACCCATGTGGTGACCTCAGGCACAGAGAGAAGCTCCCGCCATCACAGATCAACTCTGTTTCCCGACAACGTTGTAGGAAGTGACCGCTCACAGGCTGATGACCAGACAGAGGTGACCCTGAATTCCGTTTTTGGCCAAGAATCACTGCCGGGGGAAACCTCAGGACAAGTTGGGGCTTTATCTTCTTGGTTAAGTGGCAGCTGCATTACCTCTGAGGCTCTTCACACAGGAGAACGCAGACTTCTTCCCTGTAGGGCGTCAGTTGGGCTGGCAGCAAGGCATCGGACCCTGGTGGGCTCACATACACACTGATCCACCAAAGTCTCTAGGACAAGGCTTGGGAAAAGCAAAGTGCACGACTTTGGGTATTCTCTCTGCTTTGGAGCTTTGTTAAGCCCAGGTTTGAATAGAGAGATTCCCAGGCATGGTAGTTACAGCATCTAGTAGCATTGGAAATCTGCACTGATGTTGGAAAGTGGTGTTGCCTTGTGGGATTTTTCACCAAGGGAATTAGGAAGAGGCAAACTCAGGGAGAATCCATCAGAGACTGGCCATGCAGCGGACTGTGGGGTGCAACAGTGTGATGGACAAGATAGTGATGGTTTGAATGGGAAATGTCCCACAGAGACGCAGGTGTTTGAGTACGTGGTCCTCAGCTGTTGGCTCTTGTTCGGGAAGTTATGGGGCCATTAGGAGGCATAGTCTTGCTGAAGGAGGCACTACACTTGGGGCGAGCTTCGAACGGCTTTACCTTCCCTACTTCCTGTTTGCTTCCAGCTCCAGCTGATTGCTGCCATGTACCTCCCCTGACATTATGGATTCCCCTTCTGGAACTGCAAACCAAAATAACCCCTTTTCCTGTAAGTTGTTCTTGGTCACAGTGTTTAATTACAGCAACAGTAACCAACTGAGGTGGGGGAGTCATTCCTCTGCAGAACATTCACCCAGGGGCACTAGGACTGTAGGATGCTGCCACACCCAGCTTGGCAGCCCCCGGCAGGCTCAGCACACACATCCACATGTACAGTGCGGTTGGTGATAGCTTTCCATTGTCTCTCAGACACTTTGGGGACCAAGCACACGGTTCACTGTGCTCAGTGGGGGATGCCCACCCACACACTGTCCTCTCTGAAGGTCAGACTGAAGCCCAGCTTTAGAAACCGGCGGGAAGCAGTTAGTAAAGGTCACAGGTCATGTCCCTGACTACTTGCTGTTGGAATTGGGTCTGAGGCATGGAAGTGAAGGGTGAGACTGGTCAGTGAGGCTCACTTACCCGGTTACTTAGATCTCAGGGATTGGCAGGAAGTCAAGACACTCTGGCTATTGGCTGATACTTAGCTGCTCTTGTGTGTGCTGGCTCCCCTCCTGCAGCCTGTGTCCCACCCAGAGCCCGCTTAGTTTAAGGATGTCATAGGTCAGAGCCACGCCCTCAGCGCAGGGCTCAGCTCTGTTCTCACCATCTCTTCCCACCATTGTCTGACTGTTGCTGTCTGGACAGTGAGACAGGAGGCCATACCACCTTAACGGGGTACTTTGTGGCACTGGGCGGAGTCTAGAGGCTGTATGGTATCTTCTTCTCTGAGATCAGGGGACCCTGGCTTGGGTAGTCAGCGAGCATCTGACTAATGGCAGACAGGGAGGGCAGAGGAGAGGTGAAGCCAGGCTATCTTGGCTGAGTCCTTCCTGTCAAGGACACACAGTAGACCGTGGCTGGCCACCAGGAACCAGAGTGCGAGGTGAACGCAGGGTGCCCACGGTCCTCTGTGTCTTCATGATGTTCTGTGAGGGCTTACACATTTCCCTCTGCTTTGAATCACGATAGAAGCCCAGCCTACAGGTGCATTAAGTGAAGCCCTCGGGGCTTTCCTGAGACTCACCCAGTGGCTTCCAGCATCAGCATCTCTGCTAGGAAGTGCCACGCCACTTTATGAGTCCTCTGTTGGCAACCTCCTTCTCTCCCTTTGGAAACTTCCACTCACCTTTCTCAGTCCTGGACACAATCTGCCAGCGGTAAAGGCCTGCCAAATCGGCGAGGCCCGGATCTGGCTTTTGCTAAGGATTTGACTGTTTGGAGGCAGGATCTCCTGTAGCTCAGGCTAGTCTCAGATGCTCTATCTAGCTGAGGTTGACCTTGAACTCCTGGTCCTCCTGCCTCTGTCTCCTGAGTGCTGGGATTATAGGCATTGCCAGGACACTTGGTTTATGTGGTGCTGGGGATCAAACTCATGGCCTGGTGAATACCAATCAAACACTCTACCAACCGAGTAATATCCCCAGCCCATACTGCAGACTTAACAAATATGTCATCTGGAAATTCAGCCTCAGATAGTCTCAGATTAATTTGTATGATTCTGATCTCTTTTTCCCCATCTCCCTTTTCTAGAATACTCTTATTATTGGACCTTGGACATTGGGCCTTCTGATGGTATTCTCTCATTTCTGATCATTTCTATTCTTTCACGGTTGTTTTAGTAAAATAAATGTTTTATTCCTATATACACATTTTCAAATAATGTTCCTCAAATAAGTATATAAAACAGGCCAACAAATGCAATTAGAGTAAAAAAAACACACAGACAGCAGCACCGTGTTTGTTTTACATCTGTGTGAAAGGCGGGCAGAAGTGATAGCCCTGCTCCCCATCCTGTGACAAAGGACTCACAGGCTCAGGTGATGTCCCAGAGTCACACAGCTGCCCACCTGTGCCCCTTGCATCTCTGATATTTGGTTCCACCACCTGAGACACTTTTGAGCTATTCATCAGTTGCACTTTTTTCTGTGGGCTCCTTTGTGACATTTTGCAGAATTCCCAAACCCAAGTAAAAGTCTCAGGTCTAAACATCCAGGGTCTTCCACCTAGAGAAGCCATGGCTGCTGCCTTTATCACAGGCTTGTGCATCTGTGGTGTTGTGTGTGTGAGTGTGCATGTGTGGTATGTGGGTGTGTTGTACATGCAAAGACGACACGTGCGCCCTGCTCTGTCACTCACTCTCCATCTTATTCCCCCGAGACAGGGTCTGTCTCTCACGGACCTTGGAGCTGGATCGCACCCAGCAAGGCCCAGTAATCCTCCTGTCCCTGCGCTCTCCCACAGCACTGGGGTTACAGGTGTGTATGTAGCCACTCTCAGACTTTTATGTGGGCGCTGGAGATTCTAACTGGGGGCACTAAACCATCTCCCCAAGCTCCCACACACTTGTTTGGCTGAGCCATTAGGAAGGCAATTGCTAACACATGCAATACTACCGTAAATATTTTACTACCTTTTCCTCCCTAGAATAAAATTCTTTCCCTCTACCTCAATGGGCCTCAGCAGACTTTCTACCTGCAAAGGAAACCTTTAAAAGGTTTAGAGATGCTTTTATTTATTAAGATATGAAGGGAACTGTTCTACAGGCATCTTGTGGATAGAGACCAGGAGGCAGGAGGACGCCTTTCAAGCTCAGAACAGCCCCCAACAAAATAATCACATACAACCTAACAAAGGCACTGAAGCTGCCTGAATCCCCCCCACACCACCACCACACACTGTTATGACTGCCAAGGAATTTAATTTAATTTAATTTTTTTTTGATTTTCGAGACAGGGTTTCTCGGTAGCATTTGGTTCCTGTCCTGGAACTAGCTCTTGTAGACCAGGCTGGCCTCGAACTCCCGGAGATCCGCCTGCCTCTGCCTCCCGAGTGCTGGGATTAAAGGCGTGCGCCACCACCGCCCGGCTAAGGAATTTAATTTTAATACAACATTATCTCAAACAGTCACAGTCAGATTTCTCTCGCTGGTCTGGAGACAGATGTAGCATATAGTCATGGGTCCTTTACTTGGGTGGGTTGATATTTGCCAGTTATTGTCTCCGCACCACACATTCGTTTTGCTGAACATCTAAGCAGATGTACTGGTGCACAATGTTTCCTGGTCCAGAGGTAACCATTGCATTTGGGGGGTATGGCTCTCTTACACTGGGTTCTCAACCTTCCTACTGCTGTAACCCTTTAATACAGTTCCTCATGCTGTGGTGACCCCCAACCATAACATTAATCCATTGCTACTTCATGACTGTAATTTTGTTACTGTTATTACCACAATGTAAATATCTGATACGTGACCCCCATGTCTTCACCCACAGGTTGACAACCACCAATCTATTTACTGGCTCTTTTGCTCCAGAGATCATTTTTATTCTTCTCACTGACGTCCTCAAAATCTCCAGGCCATTTCAATGCAGAGCACCCCACACGTGGGTTTGCCAGAGTCTTGCAAGAGTACTCCATGGGGACGGCGAAGCCCACATTCCTTCAGGCAGTATGTGGTTCCCCCAGCTTTCACCTCCCAACCTTCACCCCTGGTTGCCGTCAAGAAGCCATGACAATGTGTGTGTGGGGAGATGGGGGAAAGCAGTCAACCTCAATGCAGTTGTTACGTTGGGTGATTACGTGGGGTTATCCTGGGCTTTTAGGGGTGCGCTGAAGCCTTCTGATCTCTACCCAGGACACGCATATGTTGATGAATAAAAGCTGTTTGTCTTGAACGTGCCTTTCTTGGTCATCTGTCTGCTCTTTTAATTCAGACACACGGAGCACTTCCAGCCAGCTCTAGGTTTGTGGGCCAAGTTGTTGGCTGCAGACCTTGTAGTAGGGTGATGAAAAAAATCTCAGGGGTCTTTGCATTACACTCAGGCTGAGCAGACTCCTCAGAGAAGAATTTTCTAGTCTCCTGATGGGGGCCAGAACTGGCCACTAGCTGGCTGAGATGGGGCAGGGGCTACAGGTATTGGCATTCAAATGTCCATTCCCTCTTAACTACTTTCTTATATACCCTCAACTTCCTTCTCTCTAGCCTGAACCCTCATTTGCTTCCGAAGGCAGAAATAGTGCTAACAGGGCAAGGGGGCCTGGACCTTAACCGGCTGTGCTGGTTAATATTGACTGGGTCAAGAGACATGTAGGAGACTGGTGACACACACTTCTTGGTGGCTGTGGGGGCATTTCCAAAAACAGCCAAGGGGGGAGAGACCCACCCTGAACCTGGGTGACACCATTCCAACAGACTGAGTCTGAATGCTGAGACCCTGGGTGGGGTGAGGGAGGAGAAAGAGATACCCAGCTAGTACAGAGGGGCCTCTGCTTCCCGCTCACCATGCAGTAAGCTTCCCTGCCCCACCATACACTCCCTGCAGGATGCTCAACCTCACTTCAGGCCCTTGGCAATGGACAAACCCAGGCTGACACTTCTACAGCCATGAGCCAAACCATATATTTTCTCCTGCAGAATGTTTCTCTTAGGTGTTTGTCACACTGACAAAAATCTCCGACTGGTGCACCAACCCTCTGTTGCTCCAACCCCTGCCCACCCCGGCCACCCCCCTGCCCACCCGGCCACCCCCCTGCCCACCCGGACACACCCCTGCCCAACCCGGACACACCCCTGCCCACCCTGCCACACCCCTACCCACCCCTGCTGCTGCCTTCTCTATACAACCAACTTCCTTCTCCAACCTCTGCTTTCTGGCTTCCAGAATTCTTGATCTTTTTGCTTTCTTGACTTCCTGGATTTAAATTTTTAATTGATTTCTTGTTTCTGAAATGGGCCTCTGAGGAGCAATGGAGGTCAGGATGCATTTCAGCTCACTGTGTTTAACAGCAAGCTGGTGGCCTTTAATACTGAAATAGCAACTGAATCCCACACCCATTTACTGGAGGAATTCAGAAGCACCTGTCCCTGGACATGCCACTTTGAGGAAATGCATTATACAAAAAGCCAATATGATGCACATGTATATCCACTGTCCCTTTAAGTCCCCCTGGGTTTAATCTGACAGGCCCAGTAACCACAGGCAGCCTGCCTTCCTTTCGCCTTCTCCGCATGGCCCCAAGCTGCCCCATTATCACCTCCCGCGTGTATCAATCTCCCGCAACTCTCCAGCCTCAGATGCTCTCCATGTTGTAGACTGGAGGGGTTGGCCCTAACCACCCCTGCATGCCAGCACACATCAGTCACCTGGGCCAACAACCTCAACAGGAGGCTGGGTCCTCTCTCTCCCGGAGGCGCTCGTTAGCATCTCTGTCTGGCTGCTGCGCAGCTTTACACAGCTGGCTGCTTCCCTTGCTACCCTTGGTTCTTAGTCACTTTCCAGGTGGAACATTACAGCTCAGAGGGATGTCTTCCCTGCTAAACCAGGCTGGGGGTTGTCCTCCTGGGAACAAAATTCTATCCCACCCCTAATCCAGCCCCGTGGGGTTGAGGGCTGAGTATTGGGTGCTTGTCCCAGACTCACCATTCACTAACGGCACAGTGTGGACCTCAGCCTGCCTTGGTTTGCCCGTCGTACTATGCCACAGTTCACAGGGCACACAGGAAGCACGTGAGAACTACTTTTGGCTCTCACCAGCACCAAACCAAACAATCCTATTTCTGCCACTCCTACCATGTGACCTTGTGCAAATTCATTTTTTTTCTTTTACCTTCTGCTTCAGTTTCCCCAAGTCTTGTAAGAAATGTAAGAAATGGTTATTAAACATTAAACATTAAACTCCAAGAACGGTGGTCAACACATAGTAAGTAATGACCAGGAACTGACATCCTAGTCATCTTTGGTCTGCTCGGGGACCTTGTATGCATGCTACTCCAAGTGTTTTTTAAGAAGCTAGGAAGGAAGTCTGGCTGGTTATCCCCACCATATCACAGCGTAAGATAAGCCATGATGGATATGCAGCTCAGAAGAGCGCTTAGGAAGAGAAAGGATCAGGAATGAGAAACCCAGAGCTTAACTGTCCTCACAGCTCAGAGAGCTCCCGATACCTGGGGCCATGGAAGACTGTGGGGAGTCAGGATAAGCCCACGCAGGCTGGCTGCACATACAAAAAGATTATGACCATGAGCTGAAAGTCCTACTGAATGCCCTGCTCCAAGTGAGGATCCTGGAGATGAGAGCCTGGCATGGAGGTCTCTTAAGAGCCTAAGTGGCTGTCTTTGCAGTTAGCCAAGAGGTTTCTAACTGACCTCAAATTTTTCAGCCCAAGAATATCAGGTAGGTGGGCCTGGTGCTTTGGCGGCTCTTGAGACGGGACAGTAGCATGGGATGGAGTGAACTGGGCAGAGTAAGGTGATGTCAACACCAAGAGGCTTGGCTGTCCTGAGGGAGGACAGCTCCGTTCAAAGCAGTGCATCCCAAAGGCTCTGGGGGAACCATGTGAGCTCCACTAGAGGAATGGGCAAGGAAGTCAGGTGCGAGAGAAAAGCAGGGACAGAGGGATTCCGGGCCACATGTGGGATGTGAGCAGGTCGCTAGGAGGAGGGAAGAGGGCAAGAGAGGAGCCCCTATCAGTCCACACGAAGCCTGTGTCTGACACTGTCTGTTTTACACGCTTAGATGGGAACCTCCATGCTGGGCACTGGTGCAGTTTGCCATCTAGCAGGAACAAGGGGTGGCTCTGAGTTTCTGTAGGGATCATGGAAAGGAAATCTGAAATAAGGCAGGGTCTGTGTAAAGATGAAGGAAAATTCTGGGCAGAGAGAACTCTCTTCCCCCTCACCCCTTCTCTCCCTCCCCTCTCCCTCCTTCCCTCTCTCACTCCCTTCCTTTTTCTCCTCCCTCCCCGTCCCCGTCCCGTGATCACAGTGACACCAAGGGAAAGACTGTTTTCTCTAGTTCCCACTGTCACTTTTTGTGCCCACACCCACTGTCCCCTTCCCTGACATCTGCTGCACACAGCTGCTATGTATATGCCATCTTTGCCCTGCATGTTTACGGACAACTCTTTGGGCCTCTCTGTCCCTTTCTGTCCATTGCCCTCAAGAGCAGCTCTCATCCCACCTCCTCCTTCCCAGGCAAGGTTTCGCCACCTGGCTTCTTCTTGGCCTTCCCTCCCCTCCGGAGTGGAGATGGGGGGCTAGCAGAGGCCCCTGTCCATAAGCACCAACAGGCTCCATCAGTCTCCTCCACAGAGGTTAGGGACCGTCGAGCATCCACCACCAGCTTGTGTGAGCCCCGGCACTCACAGCCTGTCTAGGAAGACAGCTAATTATGATAAGCTAATTATGCGACACACCAATAATTATAATCTAATTATGTCATGAAAGCGGCAGTGGGAAAACAGAATAACACTGTCTGAGCAAGCTGGGAATGCTTCTGTGGGGAGCTGCTGTGTGGGCTGGATAAAGAAGGAGCCAGAAGCACCCTGAAGATGCATAGAGGCTGGGGAGCACCCGAAGTGCCACAGAAAAAGGACACGGTGGTGTCACGTGTGGCAGGGATCCTATGCAAATGAAGTTACAGGGGATGGACAGACCGCGGGCTTGGAAGTTTCTACTGCATTCCAAGGGTGATGGAAGAGTCTGGAGACTGTAACCAAAGGTCAGAGGTGGATAGCAAGCATTTTCAGAAGTTGGGGGGGGCAGGTAAATGCAACGTCTGACCACCATCAGGCTGTTTCTCTATATTGCCGACACGGTAAAATCAGTGCCTCAAATGTCGGAGGAGTACGGGACCAGTAGCCAGCATCAGCTAGGTACTGGAAGCCAACTAGCCGGAGCACATAGCATGGCCTGCGATAGCCCCTGGGAGGTGGGTCATTCATGTCACAAAGTTATGTGGGCAGAGCGTGTTGACCCAGCACACAGCCAGGAGTGGAACGCTCTGTAGACTCAGCAGGGAGAAGAATGCAGGCATAAGGCCTCAGGAGAAAGCAAGCCAGCACTGCCAGAGACCATCACTGTAGCAGGGCTACTGGCTTCTGAGACTACATCCCTCCCTTTTCACCAGTTTCCATTTTCCAAGCAGCTCATGAGACATCAGCTCCCCTGCCATGGACTCAGATTCTTTCTGTAGGTATCCCTTTGAGTCAGGGCTAGGTGATGTAAATCACAGAGGCTTTGGCCTACCTGGTTTATCTACCCCACCTTCCAGTACACTCCAAAGGGGCAGCAGGTGGGCAGCAGAGAATCCCCCAAAGAAGAGAAGGTGGATGGGTAGGAGGTTCACAGACCAGGAGCTGGACATGTGGAGCTGGTGTGGTACCCAAATCAGGCACCCTGGGAATGGAGCACTGGGCTCTTTCTCCAGAGCCCTGGGAAGCCAGACAGGGGAGGGGCAGGTCTAGCAAGCATAGATCTGAACCACCAGATGCCTGTGGGCATGCACCGGGCAGCCCCATGTCTACATCTCCTTCCTGCTCTGTGCTGGGTCAACTCACTTTGCTCAGGTGACTTCACAGCATGAATGACTCCACCTCCCAGTGCTGTCTCAGGCCATGCTATGTGCTATGGCTAGTTGACTATTAGTACCCAGCCTGAAGTTTACATTCTAAACCAAGCAAAGAAGGACAGAAAATTCCAGGCCTTGTCTCCCAAACATGAGGTCCAGGAACCAGGCCTGCTATGGCCTCCGTGAAGCTCAGGCCATCAGTCCCACACATTACTTCATCTCTCTTAAGCACATGGGAGCAGACATTGTTCTGGAGTCTTTCTGGGGTGGTGGGGGATGACAACTCACGACTGGGTAGTTCCCTAAGAACAATCTTTACC